GGGAACGGGGGGCGGGCCCGAGCAAGCGGGCCTCCGCGCGGCACTTGGCACGCACGCGCAGACGGGCCGCGGGGCCCGGAGGCACAGAGGAGGGGGAGCGAGAAAGGGGGGTGTGGAACGTATTTCCGCTCTGGCGGACAAATAATACCGGCCAAAGGGGAGGCCAGGCCATCCGGCCCTTTAACCGTGTGGGGGGGGGCTGCTGAAGAAAGGGGGGTCGGGAAAGGGGGAATCCTGCTCCTTTAATTCCCTCCCCTCTTCCTCCAACCCGAGTTCTCGCCGACGCCGAGGCGCGCGGGGCCTGGAACACACTGCACGAGCCGCCCCCGCCCCTCCCTCCTTACGCCCACGCGGAGCTGGCCCCGCGCGCGCGCCTCGTGCACCCCCGCGCCTGCGCGCTGCCCAGGCCCTGCCCGTGTTTGGGGGCGCTGCCGACCCCGGGGGGGGTGGGGGAAATAGGGGGGGAAAAAACAGCGCGCGGAACCGGGCCAGGTGAGAGGCGCGTGCACTCAGGGTCGTGGGGCTGGGGGGGCGTGCCACGGAGCTCTGAACGTGGGGGGGGGCGTGCACGAAGCGTGCAGGCGGCCGGGGGAGGACGTGAAAAGCGCGTGCAAACGTGCAAGGGGGGGCGGAGGAATGAAGCAGCGGGGAAAGGGGGCGGGGTGAGAAGAGGCTGCAACCCGGGCCACCCGGGAGCCCAGAGCCCCAGGCCTCTGCTCCCGGTTTCTCCTACCTTCCCCGTGGGCGCGCGGGCTCGCCCGGTCCTCGCGGGCGGTCGGGCTGGGGGGTGTGGACGCCGCTGCCCCGCCCCCGGGAACCACGCCTCCGTCCTCTCGGAGGGACAGCGCTTCCCCAGGGACTGGGGAAACTGAGGAAGAGGCCTGAAGACTGGGAGATCTGAAGCTGGGAGGCTGGGCAAATATGGGGGCGAGGGGCCTGGAGCCTTGGCTTAGGAGAGCCAGAGACCTTTGTCTCTGACCGGTTTCCTTCCCAACCAGGGTTGCCCACCCCCGCCACAATGGCCTCTGGGGTGGAAGTCCTGCGCTTCCAGCTGCCCGGCCACGAGGCCGCTACCCTGCGGAACATGAACCAGCTCCGCGCAGAGGAGCGGTTTTGTGACGTGACCATTGTGGCCGACAGCCTCAAGTTCCGTGGCCACAAGGTCATCCTGGCCGCCTGCTCGCCTTTCCTGAGGGACCAGTTCCTGCTGAACCCCAGTTCTGAGCTGCAGGTCTCCCTGATGCACAGTGCGCGCATCGTGGCCGACCTGCTCCTCTCCTGCTACACGGGCGCTCTGGAATTCGCTGTCAGGGACATCGTCAACTACCTGACGGCTGCCTCCTACCTGCAGATGGAGCACGTGGTGGAGAAATGCAGGAACGCCCTCAGCCAGTTCATTGAGCCCAAAATAGGCCTCAAAGAGGACGGGGTCAGCGATGCCAGCCTTGTGAGCAGTGTCAGTGCCACCAAATCCCTCCTCCCTCCCGCCAGGACCCCAAAACCAGCCCCCAAGCCCCCACCCCCACCCCCTCTACCCCCTCCACTCCTACGGCCTGTGAAACTGGAGTTCCCCCTGGATGAGGACCTGGAGCTGAAGGCCGAGGAAGAAGATGAGGACGAGGACGAGGACGTGTCTGACATCTGCATCGTCAAGGTGGAGTCGGCCCTGGAGGTGGCACACCGGCTCAAACCTCCCGGAGGTTTGGGAGGGGGTCTGAGCATCGGAGGCTCCGTGGGCGGCCACCTGGGAGAGCTGGCTCAGAGCAGCGTGCCCCCCAGCACTGTGGCCCCACCGCAGGGTGTAGTGAAAGCCTGCTATAGCCTGTCCGAGGACGCAGAAGGGGAGGGCTTGCTGTTGATCCCTGGAGGCCGGGCCAGCGTGGGGGCCACCTCAGGCCTGGTGGAGGCAGCAGCGGTGGCCATGGCTGCCCGGGGGGCGGGGGGCAGCCTGGGGGCAGGGGGCAGCAGGGGACCCCTGCCTGGGGGCTTTTCCAGTGGAAACCCCCTAAAGAACATCAAGTGCACCAAGTGCCCGGAAGTGTTCCAGGGCGTGGAGAAGCTGGTCTTCCACATGCGGGCGCAGCACTTCATCTTCATGTGCCCACGCTGCGGCAAGCAGTTCAACCACAGCAGCAACCTCAACCGCCACATGAACGTGCACCGCGGCGTCAAGTCGCACTCCTGTGGCATCTGCGGCAAGTGTTTCACGCAGAAGTCCACGCTGCACGACCACCTCAACCTCCACTCCGGAGCGAGGCCCTATCGCTGCTCCTACTGCGACGTGCGCTTCGCTCACAAGCCCGCCATTAGGCGGCACCTCAAGGAGCAGCATGGCAAGACAACGGCAGAGAACGTGCTGGAGGCCAGCGTGGCCGAGATCAACGTCCTCATCCGCTAGCGGGGCAGGCTCAGAGGCCAGGAGGCAGGGGTCCCTGGGCTGAGTGGGAAGGGAGCTCCCTGGCCCAGGAGAATGGGGGGGTGGGAGGGTCGGGATCAGGCAGGTACGGTGGGGGAACCTGAGCAGACACATCCTGAGGGAGGGGCTGAAGATTCCCTGGAGAGAAGACCCCTGTCTTTTCAGAAGAAAAAAAGAGAGGGAGAGGGCTCTTTGAGAAGGCCAAGGGGATATGGCCTCCCAGAGAAAAATTTTCTTCTCTTAGAGGTGCATGGATATGTGGAGGGAGGGAAAGGGTCTTAATAGATTGAGAAGAAAAAAAGAGGAAAATGCTTTATTCCTGGTTAAGGCTGCCCAGGGAGAGGTTCTGATATTTCTTGAGATGGGGGGTGGGTGGGTGGGAATTGGGAGGGAATTTGGCAGGAGGCAGCTTACATGCTCCTGCATAGAATAGATCCTTGGGAGAGGGAGTGGTAGGGGGAAAGGATTATTGAATCCCAGAAAAGGAAGTGGGGAGACAGTTCTTGCATGCTGGGGGAATGGGACTGTGGGTAAAGGCTCACCGAAACTCTAGGGAGAACCATGTCAGGTGCCAGGTAAGAGAACTTGGGGGTGAGCATCCTGGGTAGATACGGAAAAGTGGGGGACAATAGCAAGAAGAATGAATAGTGGTGGGGGTGGGGTAGGGCACTTAGATGAAAGGATACAAGGAGGGCTGTTGGGGGGGGAGGGAGAGGAGTAGAGACTTATACAGTATTTTTTAAGAAAAAAACGTATTTTTTAGGATTTTTTCTGGAGTTTGGGGTTTTAGTTTTTCTGCTTTTGTTTTCCACAAAATAAATAATAAAAAAAAAAAAGCCAAACACTTTTTTTCTTTATACTCTGTCTGGCAACTGCGTGTATATGACTATCCCACCCTAGACAGCGTCTCCCTCCTTATTGCATTTGCTCAATACTCCGCAAAGCTCATGCAGGTCCCATGCCTGAAGAAGACTTGACAAGAGCAGGGGATTGTGACAAGTGGGCTTCTCTGGCTGGAGACCCTCCCAGTTCTGCAACCTCAGCACCTCTAACAGGTATCTCACGCTTATGTTCTATGATTGGCCGTGGTGATAACACACAACTTCCCCTTCTATTACAAGAGTTTAGTATCAGCCCTAGGGATGAGCTATAAAGGTGATCATTATGCCCACCAAAATTGTAAGCAGGAACCTATGTTTGGGCATTTATGTTCTGACGAAAGGGTACATGTCCTCTGAAAAGCTAAAAAAAAACCCACTATGCTTGGATCAGGGTTATGGAGAAGACTACAAGTCCCACAAAGCTCTGGAATAGTTCTTAACCAAAGAGAACTACAGTTCCCAGAAGGCCTTGAATTGGCCTCAGGTGCCCCATAGCCCAACCACGGGCTTCTATCAAATACTGCGTGTGAAATCGTAACAGGGTTTTTTCTGAACTTTGACCAGAATGTAATCCGTAAAGGGATGGTACCCTAAATAATGCTATCAAGGTTGTATATCTTGGTGTAATATTCATAATTCCACTGTTAGCTGGGCTTACGACCCGCGTAGTGCCTGACTATGCTTGGGAGGTGTTTGGCAAAAAAAAAAAGGTTACTTAGTAGTGTCACCAGGCAGTAATAACTCTTGGGCCTCTGGGGGCTTACTTGGATCCCTAGTGCACATGGTGGCGTAACAGGTCTGGCATAAACAGAAGAGACATTTAGCCCCAGGTTTTCAAAAGGGTACGCTGCTCCAGGAGACATGAAGCAGCAAGGTAAAAGCAGTCGAGCAAAGGTGTCCTCCGCGCGTTCCCACTGTCCCCTTCCTGCTCGTTAGAGAAGCGAGGCCAAAACTGAGCCCGAGTCTTCTATCTGGCGACCCAGAAACCAGAAAGCACCCAGAGGCGGGAGAAGCATAGGCGGGCCAGATTGGAAAGACAGCCGCTGCCGAGAGCCGTGAGGGTCAGACACTTCTTTCGTTACCTAAAAACAGGCGGGGGATGGAGAAGCCACACCTGGACCCAGGCGTGCCTCACCTTCGGCTCCCCGCTGAGCTGACGCCAGGATTGGCAAGAATTCTCCCCTGCAGCCCCCGGCTTAGGACAGCCACTGCCATTTCCGAAGCGGCTCTCGGGGGGAAAATGGCCAGAAAGCGCGTAGTGGCTCCTTTAAGGCTCCTCCTAGCCCTCCCTCCCCCGCCCACGTGACCCGGGGCGGCCGCGCGCCGGCTCGGCCCCCCGCGCAAGCGGCGATGGCGGCGGCGGCGGGAGCTGCAGCGGCGGCGGCCGCCGAGGTGCGGAAGGGGAGGGGGAGAGGCGGGTGCATGCCCGCGCGCGCGCCCGGGGGAAGCGCGCGCCCGTGCAATGCTCCGGGGGTGCAACGGGGCCGGGGGGCCCGGACGGGACCTGCAGCAATCCGGAGGGCCAGCACCGGGGGCGGATGAGAGGACCAGGGGGTGGGAGGTGGGGGGAGTGGGCACGGAGGCGCGCGTGCAGCCGCCGGCTGCCCCCGAGTGGGCGGCGGGCGCCGGGGCCCCAGGAGCACGCGCGAGGGGCACGAGGGGCCGTCCACCGGGCTGGGGGGCAGCGGGCGCTGGAGGGGTTGGTGCCCGGGGTCCCCGCGGCCTGGGGGACAAAGGGGGAGCGGCGCGTGCAGCCGGGAGGAGGGGGCGGGGCCGGGGCGCAGAGGCCCCGCCCCCTCCCCCTCCCCTCTTCTCGGCCCCTGAGATGCGGGGTCTGCCGAGAGGGAGGGGGTTAATGCGGGCCCGGGGGAGGGGTCGTGCGGCCCCCCCGGGCAGCCGAGGCCGCGGAAGGGGGGGCCCCCATAGAGGAAGAGGTAGGCCCCGGAGCCTACTCTCTCTTCCCAGAGCCCAGGCGTCCTGGGCTCCCCAACTTCCTACTGGGCTGACCAGCCCTCCTATACCTTGTGTCCCCTGCCAGGGGGAGGCCCCTGCTGAGATGGGGGCGCTGGTGCTGGAGAAGGAGCCTAGAGGAGCCACGGAGAGAGGTGAGTGCAGTAGAAACGGGCCCAGTTGGACCTTCACGTCCCCCAACACAGGATTCCCTGAGACCTTAGCCCTGAACTTTTTATTTTCCCTTACAGTTCATGGCTCTTTGGGGGACACCCCTCGTAGTGAAGAGACCCTGCCCAAGGCCAGCCCTGACTCCCTGGAGCCTGCTGGCCCCTCATCCCCAGCCTCTGTCACAGTCACCGTGGGCGATGAGGGGGCTGACACCCCTGTGGGAGCCACACCACTCATTGGGGATGAACCTGAGAATCTCGAGGGAGATGGGGACCTCCATGGGGGTCGCATCCTGCTGGGTGAGAGGTTGGGGAGCCTGGAGGGGTGAGGTGGGGTATCCTCTGACCACTTTCCATCTTATCTTGCCTCTGTCTGCCTGCCTGCTTGTCTGTCTTCCAGGCCATGCCACAAAGTCATTCCCCTCTTCCCCCAGCAAGGGGGGTGCCTGTCCCAGCCGGGCCAAGATGTCAATGACAGGGGCTGGAAAATCACCCCCATCAGTCCAGAGTTTGGCTATGCGGCTGCTGAGTATGCCGGGGGCCCAGGGGGCGGCCACAGCAGGGCCTGAACCCCCTGTGGCCACACCCAGCCCAGAGGGGCAGCCCAAGGTCCACCGAGCCAGAAAAACCATGTCCAAACCAGGAAATGGGCAGGTGAGGATTGGGGGCGGGGAGGCATGGGGGTGGGGAGACCAGAGTAATCCACTGTGAACCCCTTGTGGACTTTTTTTTACAGTTTAGCTTCAGAGTTTTTCTCATCTATTCATGGCTCCACGTATTTACCTAGGGGCTACTGTGTGTCAAATTCTGGGCTGGGCTTAATCTGAACAAACAGACAAGTTCTTGTCTTCCTGGAGTTTACATTCTTGGGGAGAGGGAAATAGAAAACTCAAAGGTTTGAGAGTTAACGATGTAGACGTCGTAATTATTCTTATGATAATGACTGTCTAAGGAACTTCAAATTCTCTACCTCAAAGTAGGCCCCAAGGGAGCTTTTTCCTCCCTTTGAAACTGCGCCTACTTCCTTTTTCAAAGGGTTTCTAAGGGTTTTTACTGTGAATCCCTACAGGGAAGGAGGTGAAGGAAAGGACAAAAGCCCCAGAATTTCAGAAGCTTTATGACAGTGTTTTTGGGGCTCCTGGTATCATTTTGTTCTGGATATGGTTTAGGCAGCTTTGGGCAAGGCATGAACCTTTGTTTTCTCATCTATAAAATGGGTAAAGAGGGTCTGCTTCTGAGTGCTTGAAGAGGTAAGTGTTAGGTGTGGGATGTGCTTAACACACTTCCTCTTGGGAGACAGGAGTTCTCGTCATTGCCACATTCTGGTTTATTGGGGCTTCAGATGGCATTTTTGAGGGTGTGGCTCACCCACCCCACCCTCATCCAGGGCTCCAGGCTAATCCAGGCAGAATTACAGATGTTCCCTGACCCTAAGTGTGCTCCCTCTTGGCCCCTAGCCCCCAGTCCCTGAGAAGCGGCCCCCTGAAGTGCAGCATTTCCGCATGAGTGATGACGTGCACTCGATGGGGAAGATGACCTCAGGTCAGTCCCACCCCCACCCACCCGCCACTTGATAAGACCTGTTCTGAGGGTTTAAGGACAGGCCTTACTCCTTTTTCTCTCTCTCTTCTTCCAGAGGTGGCCAAAAGGAGGAAGCTGAACGCAGGAGGTGGCCTGGTAAGCCTGGAGAGGCAGAAAACAAGGCCTCTCCACCTTGGGGGTGGGGGGGGTCCCCAGGGGAAGTGGGAGGGGGGACTACCAGCAGCTTCCATTTTTCTGATCTTCTCCTAGTCAGAGGAGTTGGGTTCTACGCGGGGTTCGGGAGAAGTGACCGTGGAGAAAGGGGATCCAGGGTCCCTGGAGGAGTGGGAGACAGTGGTGGGGGACGACTTCAGCCTGTACTACGACTCCTATTCTGTGGATGAGCGTGTGGACTCCGACAGCAAGGTGAGGAGGAGCCAGCCTACCTCCCTGCCAGCACCCACCTCGCCCAAGGCTCACTCTCCAGTCCTTCCTGCCCATGCCCACCGCCACCCCCACCCCCCGGCTCTCTTTCCTTTTTACCTTGTGACACCCCCTAATTCACCACCCCATCCTCTCAATTTCCTCCCCATGTGTGCTCCGCCCCAGCGCATCCCCTTGCCCCTCCCCAAGGTGGTAACCGCCCTCCTGGACTTTGGGTTTAGCATCCCATTTTGTTGTTTATTTGTTGTTTGCTTATTTATTGTTTTGCTTTTGGTTTGGTTTTGTCTCATACGTGTTTGCTTATGCAGTATAATGCTGTTCTA